TTGTGGTGTTGCTTAATATTTGCAAAAGAAATGGATGCAAAGTGTATTTAAGTAATCAAACTGTAGTTTCTTTGTATTAGGTGCAATCTTTTGAGAACATCTTAATGTATTTCTGCTTTGTTCTCCTTCTTTTTTGAMGGTAACTCACATTCTTCCACTTTCCTTTTTGTTTGCGAAATTTTCTCCTCTTTTTTATCCACTCAGTTTTCCATCTGCTTTCACTTTTGTTTGCTTGGGCCGTCTCTCATCCCAACTTGATAATGAGGAATGCAGTGTGACCCTGACCTCTATCAGCCCATGCATGACCTTCTGACTCGCCCACATAACCTTTGACCTTCTCTTTGACAGCTTGATTAATTACCCTGTGTTATGATTTATGAGTAAGTGCTATGTAAAAATAATAGACAACAGGTGGTTCTCTAAAATCTTTTTGTGGCACATTTTCTTTTCCTCCCTAACTTGATGATCTGTTTTAAGTTTGGAACTTAGTGGGACAGTGTGTGTTTGGCAGAAGCATAGCATTTTTACACACTTGGACACAGTTCTGGAATTCAGGCGGCTGAGGTATATCTGGGATCAAAATATCACAGTGTTAGCAGGGTGCAGTTGCCAAAGTGTACATTGGGCGGAAACAGAAAGCGGAATCAACTGACATTTCAGGCGTTTCAGTCACAGGTCACGTCTTGAGAAAATTGCTCAAATAATGGAGGGGGCATTTTTCAAGCTGAGCTGCATCTCCAACAGCTATGTTTACTTTAACACTTCACTAGTGACTTCTGATTGGTTGTCATGACCAAATCCTGCTGTTGCACCTACAGTGTTGCAACAGTGACATAGACGTACTCTTCTCTCAGTAAAGATAGGAAATGAACAGAGCATACTTCTTTCAGAAAGATGAATAGACATTGCTGTRTCTGTTTTAATCACAGGCAGTTTTAAGATCAGAGTGCTTTGGGTTGCATTTCCCCAAGGAATTATCTCTTCCAGCCTTCCAGATAGAAACTGGAACTTGAAAATTCAGGTTGATCAAGCATAGGAAAATTTTCTCTTACAGATCTTTGCTCACAGTACAAAAAGGTAGTTACATAGGTCTAAAGATATTTCTCCTGCTCTGACCTCCCTTGTCTCATATGCCTCCCTATGTCTCATATGTCTCCTGCACTGGTGGGTTAATGTGCAGATAGAATGGTTTCAGCTCATTATTCATGTGCCAGGCAGGGGAGATTTCAAAAGTTTTGGAATTTGCCTCAAATACTTTGAGGTTCTTTTTTTTTAACCATACCCTTAAACTTCCAGAAAGAGGCAGGAAATACTGCTCCATTTCTGGCTCATGTATTACAATGGAAAAGGCCCTTCTATATTGTTCTGTCTTAGTAGTAAAGGTATGGTAACTGAGATTCATGATTCTTTCCAACTCTTGACTTGGTAAGCCTTCTTTTTCTCTGCCTCCAGAAGCAGCATCCTGGTGAATGGTAGGAGTTAGTGTAGATTAAATTTTACTTACCTTGAAGCATTTCCACGTGGGGGGAAGAGATGTTAATTGGGTGCTTTTGTCTGAGAGAGAAACTGTAATTTTGTAGATTAGAGGCTGGGAGTTCTACTTGTCAGTGTCTGTCCTAATTATTAGGTTTTATCACAGGTACACTGATGGCTGAAGATTGATGGGGGGTGGAGGGTAGTGTCTTTAAAACTTAAGCTTTTTACCATGAAAAAGCCTTTTAGAGAGTGGTTTCTCTTTCTGTCTGCACTGGACACCCAGGAGGACACTATTACATTGAAAACTACTAATATTACGTTGAAAGCATACCTAATGTTTGCATACCACTTAATACCACTGAGAGTGGCAAGATTTAGAAACCCTTCTAAATGTATTTACTTACATCATAGTTTTTTAATAATGATGTTAGCTCATTATAGCTTAAATTGGTATTTTTAATGACATTGATTTGTTTAATATAGCTGCACTACTACCAAGTTAACAAATAGCAAAGTAATGCATAGTAAAGGTATATTTAACATTTTCCACCATAAAGATACTGGTGAAAAAAAGATTAATACAGTCCTGCATGCAAATAGTTATTTCTGAACAGGGCTTCCATTTTAAACAGTGCATTTTAATGAATGTGATTTTTGTCTGTGTTAACAGTTACGCCAAAGACTGTATCTTGTCTGTTATTAAAGTTTGTTAAAGGCTTTTTTTTTAGATAGTAGTGGCCTTGTATTCTGCATTTTGCATTGACTTGTACTCTTTTCCAATTCACTGTAATAGATCTCCACTTTTTTCTTTATTTTCTGATTGCAGTAAACTTTAATTGTGCCGCTACGCCCACGTGAAATAGATAGTTTAAAAATAAATTGAAGCTAAAAGCCACTTCTAGCCACAGTTTACACTGATGTTATTTAGAGCTGAGTATTCCTTTTCAGTGGAAAATGCTCAGATAAAGGCTGAATGAGAGAGGTTGTAATTGGGTACGTTTTATCAGTCATTTTGTTTCTCCATGTTGATATTTATATTAGTCTCAAATCTTCTTTCTGGTGCCATTGTTTCCATCTTGAAATTAGGATGCAGAAGCACAAGGGAAAGGGAAATACACCTTATCATGTAAGCAAAACAGTGCAAAAAGAGATTACTTTCCTAAGAGAAAGACTTACGCTTTCCCATGATAGAAGGGAAAAAAAATCTTAGCTCAGTTATTACTTAATTATTTTAATTCAACTGGCAGGAAAGGCCTGCTGTCTGGGAGAAGTGGTAAAAAAATGTGAAGAGAGTTATATTACACTGCTTWAAAAATCTTTAATAAAAATCCTTTAATTGATTTATGAAGTAGTGAATTTTAAAATAGAATAATATTTCACCTGTTGATGTCTGTGTGAAAAATTGATATTGTGTTCTCATAAAATGGGACAAATGAGTCATGTAATTTTAAGTTACATAATCAATAACTCAGACAAATTCCACTTCTTTGATGATTTGTATGTCTGTTTTGTGATCAGGTTAAAGTGGACAATTTCAAATCCCTGTAACACTTGTAGATCTGTAATAAACACATGAATTTTGTATTTCGCATTGTATAGAAAACAAAACAAATGAATACACAGAATGCCTCTGCTCAAAACAAGCAGGTCAAGAAGATGAAGAGGCCCAAAACCACCAGTCTGCCAAGTACTGCAAAATCACTGGCAGTAGCAGGCTCAAAAGCTATAATTTCATTTGTGACATACAATTTAGGAATGTTTGTAAGCTGTGTTCTTGTCCATGATGAATTTGGGACTTTGAAATGTTCCAAGCTGGAAAGTTCATGTGTTCATAGTACAGCATTGTGTGTTAATATGGCCAGGCATGGCATGAATAGATTTTAAAAGTTGTCTTTCATTTTCTGTTCTCTGTCACCCTTTCCCTATTGTTTATTTACATATTTGCATGGCTGGCAGGGCAGGGTAATCATGTGACAGGAGGCCCCTTATGGTGCTGCATCTTACCAGGAGACAATTTTCTTTTTGGCCTATCGTGACCTTTTTTGACTATGTCCCTTATGCCAGAGGTAGTATCCTGAATGCCTCTATTTCATCCTGTTTAGCCGAGTGCAACTGTGCCCTTTAGCTTGGTTTTTGGTGGGAGGAGAAGCTATGGCAGACATTTGAGAAGGACACAAGGACGAGGGGTAGGAACTCCCTTCAGATGTGATTTTGATAACTAGTCGAGTGTGTCCAACTGTAGAAAATCACTGAGTGACAGTTTGTCTACCTGACAGTGGCCACAATGAGCTACAAGGTTTGTGAATGGCTCTACAGATTAGAGTAAAGCAAGCCCAAATAAAGTATCTTTTGTTGGGGTGAACTTGGTTTACTCTGGGCAGCTAGGTATGGGGGACTTCTTTTGATCCTCATGGCTGGACGAGAGCAAAATGAAGAATCCGTGAAAAGCTAGAATAAAGCTGTTCCATTAGATAATTAATATAGATGTTTCCAGAGAATAAGTCTTTATTAAAATTTACTTCTAAAGGACAGCTTGATTTTGACTGGGAACCCATGTTAGTGTTAAGGACACATCTGTTAAATGCATGTGCTTGTCCTTTTTGTTTTCATTTGCAATTATGTCTCCCACGAATATTAAGATTTTTGTGTGATCTGCCATTATTTAAAAATCATAAAATTTGATTGGCTGATTTATTCAAGATTTTTTTCCATTCATAAATTCTTATTTTTTTAACCAGCCCATTTCCTGAGGCACAAAAATGTATCTTATGTGCTCAAAAGCATCCTGCAGACCACAAATTTGCTCTGGATTTGTTGAATATACGACGTGTATAGTGTGAACTGTAAAGTTTGAAATATATAGTGTGAACTTTTAGAGCAGATTTAAAGATGCACTAAAAAGTCAGGCTGACCATAAAGAGTTGACTCATAAGCAATACTACTGAATCAGTTTTGGTATTGATTCATTGTTACTGCTGTATTTGCCTCTGCATGGTACACTTGTTGTCAGCTAGACAAAAGGTTTTGCTATTTTAAAATGTGGTGAATAATTTTTACATGCTTTCTTTAATATATCTATCTTTATAGATAAAATTTCTCAATCCTTTTTATTTTAAAGGTTTTTCTGGCTGGGCGTAAAGCTTTTTATTCATTATTATGTAGAGTTCTTAAAGCAATATTTTGCTTTTAGTTCCCATATTGTTTTCTTAAAAATTCATATAAAGTGCTTATGAATAAAACAACATATTAAATTATTTTAAAGGTAAAACAGGCAACTTTTCTGACGCTAAGGGATCTGTGTGAGCATAAGTACATGCACAGACACATATTCACACATCAATATCCCTTTAATGACAGAACATTCTTAAAAACCCTTCTATAAATGATGTTGTGTGAAGTTACTGAAATAAATATAAAAGTTCTAAGAGCATTAAAGTAAATGCAAAGCATTCTCAAGCATTAAATCTCCCTTTTCACATTTTTTTCTTGTTTGCATGTGTGCATGTGTCTCTCTTGTAAAACAGGAAGGCTATGGAGTAATAGTTCTGAATCCCAATGAGAACTATATTGAAGTTGAGAAGACAAAAGCCCAAATACAGCTGTCTTCTGATATCTCAGATGAACCTGCAGAAAAGAGGGAAAGAAAAGATAAAGTCCAGAAGGAAATAAAGAAGCGGCGTGACTTCTACGAAAAGTATCGAAACCCACAAAAAGAAAAAGAAACTATGCAGATCTATATTAGAGTAAGTTTCTTTTGGTTTTGTTTGCCCTTCTTTATGGATGCGTACGTATATTTATATTGGCTAATAAGCAGCATGATTTTTAAAAAACAAATACATTACAGAGACAAGACTTTATACAGAGTTCCTGGCTCTTATTCTATTGATCTTTTTGGTCACTTATTGATGTTTTGGCAGTGTTAGAAAACATTTCTTTCTAATTTCAAAGGGAAACTTGAAATAAACCCCAGAGGAACTCATTGGTGTTATCAAGAAAGAAATTATTTAAAAAGGAATTAATAAAAAATATTTTATAAATAGGGTTGTACATGAGAAAGACTTTGTAGTAAATCTTAGGCAATATACTAGCTTCGCATGTCATGTATGCATATATTGTATTATATTGTTTTGTATTGGGGCAGCAATAGTTATAGCCTGAGAGTTAAACCTGCCAAATTAACAATGTATTGTGGAAAATACCAGTGTTCATCTTGTGTGGTAGCAAATCAACCCTGTAATATATTGTTTTTGTATGACCAGCCATCCATTATGTTTGAGCTGAACTTCTGAAGGCAGATAAAGGAGGAAACTTGCTAATATATTAATAAATATTTAAGCTAGAATAATTTGAGAATGGTATGATGAAGAAATTCTGTCCCTTGCCCTTTTCTGACTCAGTGAACCTTTGCACTTTGTAATGCTACCAGCATGGGATCATTATAACTGTGCTACCCGAGGATTTCTAATTCTGCAGGGAGCACAAACAATATTATTTGCATACTGGTACATTCTGCTTCATATACATACTATGCATTATACATTCCAGACTGAGTCATACAATTTCCAAAACCAGGACACCTTATTATGAAAGTTAGCATTTTCATTCAATGGTAAAAAACATCAGACACTTCACAGTGAAGGTAAAACAGTAAAAATGTGTATGTCTTTCTGGTGAGAAACAGAAAAATCCAGCAAGATACATGTTAGAGTCATCTTAAATTTGAATATATCCCCTATTAAATTTTGTTTAGCATAACAATTTTGTAAAAGAAATATAACTGTGCTGTCCAGTTAAAAGGGTTAGTAACTTGGGTACAAGATTGTCACTAATACCATAAAAATTGACTATGTCTCTTGAGAAATACCTGAGTGTGGGAAACAAAAAAATGCATATATATGTTCAAAGACAGCAACAAGGTTCTGTGTTTTCTGTTTGCAGCTTTTTTGTGAGATTCTGCCCATTGGCCAAACACTGCTCCTTAAGAAGGGCAACCAGTCTTAACTTCAGGTCTGTGAGAACCCAATGGACAGTGTTGCTTTATTGTCAAAAAGAAGTCTAGTCAGGATGCAGGTGTAGTGTTCCCTTGTTGAAAGTGAACCTTTTTTCATAAACGTTTTAGCAATTCTACCTTCTCATGACTCTTGCTTGATGAGGCATGAAGTTTGGCTTTGGAAGATTTGGCCCACCCGAGATTATAAAATATATGACTCTGTCCCAATTTTCTTCCGACACAGCTCCATGCGTTAAATATGACTGTTGATAGTGGCTTATGTTTTAATGAAAATGTGGATGGTGGTCTCCTTCCCCAGGCCAGCTAATTGAAATCAGGTTTTCTGATGGACCTGATAAAGCTATTCTGAAATAATTATTTGGGTTTTTTTTCTTTAACAGTCTCTAGTACAGATAGTTTTTTTTAAACAGAATGAAAAGCATACCTGCTTTAGCGTGTTGTGGGACAAATTAATGCAGTTTCCTTGCTTCTCAGTTTCTGAAACAAAACTGGACCATCAGTAGGGTTCCATGTWCTCTGTTGGTCAGAACTGCTAAGACTGCAGGTGGTTGCAAGAAGTGCAATGCCACCTTTGCAATTTTCTTGCCTCCCATGTTTGAGCCCTTAGGATTGCTCTTTGCCTGCACCCCAGGACTTGCCTCCAGGCTCACCATAACCAAAGGCTGCCGGGGGTACAGGATTGGTTTGGGGTGTTCTCAAGGGGCAATTCAGATACAATTTTTATCACGGTATGGTATAGCATACATTTGATGCACTAGGCTCTTAAAACATGCTGTCACTGAATAGAAATACTTAAGGATGGTATATGCTTCATGATAATCTTGTCACAGAGTTTTGAAAAACCTGAGTAGGTCCTTATGCCAACTTTGCTAAGTAGGAAAAAGTGGTATGGAGAGATTAGATTAAAAATTTCCTTACAGAAAGGCTTTAGCTTCATGTGATGTTGAAGGAAAATATGTTTGTGTCAAGTATGCTGGAGAAATTTTCGTAGACTGTTAAGCAGCAGGAATAAAAGTCCTCAGTTAYGTTCTCATAGGGTCACTGAGATTGGTTGTGATCTGATGAGGAGATGCCATTTGAACAAATTAAAACTGTCAGGATGATGCTCCCACTTGTGCAGATAGATTTTTCAAGAATGGGAGAATTAGAACTCTCCCTTGGTAATTGTCTTTAAGTATTTTCTTAGTTTTCRTAGGAAAAAAATAACTGGAGTATTCAGGAATATGTAAAAGCAGAGGCTTAAAATACAAAATATCAAACTGCACTGTATTTTCATACAAAATGACTATAAATAAGAAGGACTGTGGCAGTGTGCATTAAGCATAGTGCTTTTGAAAGATCAAAGTACTTACTGTTTCATGCTGGAAGTTTCCTTAACTATGAAATAATGTTTTTTCTGGCATACATTATGGCTTGTTAAAGGAACTGATTTGGTCTGGGTAATAAACATCATGTCAAACATTATGGCAGGAAAACCTGCTTAATATGTTTTGTAATAAGACAGATTTTTTTGTTCTTGAAAACATCTGCCAACTGAATTCACAAGTGAAGACAGAAAATGTCATCAATTCGGTAACATTCTTGTAAATTTGATTTCAATTTTAGCAATGCAAACYAAGAAAAAAACTTTTTGATAATCAGCAGTGACTATAATACTTTTATGCAATGATTAAACACAAGCATTTTACTTTTATATAATGTGATAATGAATGCATATGAATTTTAATACTCTTACGGTTCAGATTTTAACAAGCATATTGACAGATCATTTTAAAAGCATCTGTTTTCTAATGTGTTGAACGGAGGATTGAGTAAAATAGCTAAATATGTACATACATCCTTTTTAAAAACATATTTCTATTCTTGGCTATAAATATGACCATTTTTTCTTAGACCACCAGAGGCTGCTMTGTACATATGGGCTAATTTTTTTCCCCCAGAAACTTATTATTCTAATAATTTTCATTTGTTACTGAAGTAAACTGAGAATTTGTTGATCTCTAACCTTTTTCTATGGAAACAGATCATACAGGCTTAAATGTGACATGATCACTCTTCTATTCTCTGAGCCTTCTCCCACTCCCTACAGATTTTCACACTGACAGTGTCTTTTTTGTGTTGGAAGACACTTAAAAATGTAAATTAGTATTTTACCCGTTCTAAGTAGCATTCACCACTTAAGCAAGTATACCGAGTGGATTCTGAAATGTTATAAAAGAGAAAGTATAAATTGTATAATTTTATAGTAATGGTAATTAGCAATAATGTTGTTGCCACAACAGTTGAAGAATATCAAAGAGGCAACCAAGGAAGTAGTAGGAAAAAGCAATTTTATCAGACCAACTGATAGGGTCAGGATTTGTAGACAAAAAGAATAAGGCTTTCCAAAGCCTGTATGCTAGGAATTTCATCCTTTTTTTTCCCCACTGATCTTACCTGCTTGAATAATTCTTATTGCAAATATTTTTTTTATAGGACAGTCTATAACAGTGCCATTTTTTTTAACAGCATATTAACAATTAAATTAATTTTGGATGTAACATACATAACATATGAAAACATAAATAGTTTTTTCTATYTTCTGTAAGAGATTAAATAGGAAAAGATCATGTGCCACCAATTAATTTGTTTTAGTAAAAATGGATACATCTGGATGATTCGTGCCAGTATTTAAAAAAAGTGGTAAAAGGTAGTTGTATTGATATGCAGTTAAGTAAGCAGTTACTTCTGGCATACAGGAAATCCTGGCAAATGTGCAAGCATAGTTGTGCCATTTCTGCTCATTGTTCGATGCAGCTGACACAAAGTGTAGCCTGACTGAAGGTAACGGCTGAGTTCTGCTTGTGTGGGATGACCTTTCAGTGCTATGGATTTCTTTCACATTGAAGATTGAGCCGTTTCCTGACATAGCTGCAGTCCCACCAGCTGCTGGTTTCACCCTGTGGCCTTCCCCGGGCCAGTGACCTACCCTCTGACTTGGCAAGGTGCACACCTGCTCTTGTCCAAAGCCTGTGCAACTACTTTTGCCTGCTGCTGAGATAAAGCTAATAAGCCCTTTATTCCACTGGAGGAGACAGAATTACAAGCTCTAGGCAAACAGCTCCTGAGAGGTAATGGACATGCTCAGCAACCTTTTGAGTCTCATGCTGATCTTTTGTTTCCTCTTTTACTACAAGCAATGCCTGGTTGGTTTCCCCTTTCACAACTGCCAGCACTACTTTATCTGTACCTCTGAAATAACACAGGATTTTACTCTGCCCACTTTTAAAGCTTGTTACTTCCTCATGTACTGGAGAAATCTTCACTTGTTACAACACCAAAATCATGCTGATAGCAAAAAGCTTGTGAGAGCTGCCTAGAAACTACCATGYCATTGTTGTTCTTTTTCTATGTACTGCCAGGCATTCAGAGTTGAGAAAACACTGCAGTTAAGTACTGGAACATAAATGTGTAGTGACATTCTGACTGCTCCAGAACACCTGGAGAGGTCTGGTCTTGCAGAACCTGCGCCATTAGAGACCGGCACCACCTTTGGCCAGCAGCAGGAAGCCAAACATCTACCATGACACTTAGCAGCTGCGCTTAGGCTACCACATCATTCCTAAAAGTTCAGATTAGCTTTAAGTTCCTATAGCAGTTTCTATAAGTCAGGAAAAATATGTGTATGTCAGGTTTCATTCTATAGATACTACAATGGAACAGGCATCTTACATTAAATAGCTAAACTGTGGC